GGTCAATTCTTTTTATTCAAAACTTTAAGATATGACGACCTTAAGCGATTACTTAAAAGAACTCACGAGAGCGCGGAGGTTTATATAAAAGCTTAAGAGAATCTTAAAGTAATAATTTAAAATCAACAATTACCGAGTGTAAAAGTCGAAAGTAGCTAAGGTCTATATATACGAAGGTAGAAGCGCTAAGGATTCGTGAACTATAGTTCATAAGTTAAAAACGAAGAATAAGAAAATACGAAAAATACGAAAGAAAAAATAAAGGAAGTAGCTTAGCGCATGTAAAGTGCGTCTAAGAGACTTGTGACGACCTTAAGCGATTACTTAAAGGAACTCACGAGAGCGCGGGGTTCATATAAGAGCTCAAGAGAATCTTAAAGTAATAACTTAAAATCAATAACTATTAAGTATAAAGGTCGAAAGTAGCTGAAGTCTATATACACGAAAGTAGAAACGCTAAAGACTCGTGAACCATAGTTTATAAATCAAAAGCGAAGAATAAAAGAATACGAAGAATGCGAAGGAAAAAAAAAGGAAGTAGCTTAGCGCATGTAAGGTGCGTCCAAGAGACCTGGCGTGTCGTCACAAGACCTAGCGTATCGTTATACAAAAACCCGACGATTAATAAATATAATTAATAAATATAATTAGTAAATATAATTAGTAAATATAATTAATAAATATGATTAATAAATATAATTAGTAAATATGATAAGTAAATATAATTAATAAGTATTATTAATAAATATAATTAATAAATAAAATAAATAGAAGTATTTTTATAAAATACAAAATTTGTAATTAATCGTGAATTCTATTTTACATAAACTTAAGCATTGAGTTTAAGAATGATCTCAATTCCGTATCGCTATCTTTAACGCCGTAAAACAACTCCGGAGCTAGCTCGTCCTTTTTCTAAATCAATTGCATAACGCGTTAAAATAAAATAGGATCGCAATCAGCTTTTTTAAATTCAGCATTCTTTTCGAATCCTTTTATATTCTATTAAGCGGCTAGACCCGGCAATTCGTATTCAATCTTATCGGTATTTGCTTTAATTTTAGCTCGCCAATACTTCTTTTTATCAAAAGAAAAGTAGACGTAAAGAGGCTTGATTAGATGAAGACTAAAAGTTATAATATTAGTTCAATTGATTAAAAGTATAATAAAATGAATTCTTACTTAGTTCGTTTTGAAACCGTGCTTGCTAAGTCTTAAGCTATCAATTTAAAGAAAGCTTTCCCATTCTTTAAATTAATAACTCGGCACTTCTTTGTTAAAGACCGCGCTACACTTTGCTAATAGCGACGAAATTGCTAAACGGTTATCATATAGCGTAACTTTATATTATTAGCAAAATATAAATATTTAAATAAAATAAATGCTTACCCATGCGTGCTGACGTGCTAATTGCCGAATGACCTTCTTTATCTTTTTATCGGTAATCGAGACGTATCTATCGCGAGGTATATCACTATTTTCTTTTTCGTCTTTTCGCAAATTAAATTCTTTATAAACCTTTTCGTTTAAATTAAATGCTTTATTAACCTAATCGCTATTTAAGTATTTTCTATCATTGAATCTAGTTGTAAAAAAAGCGGCTTGCATAGTAAGATTATCTGCGTAAATGCTTCGATTCTTTCTAAAATCGATTAGTAAATTGCTTAATAAATCAAAGAAAAGAAAAAGTATTGTTCATTTATAAGATTCTTTCGCATTTCGGCCCATCGAGTTTTCCTTTTAGCTTCTAATGCTTAAGAATATTCTAAGGTTTATTTCTAAATTGCAGAAAGCTGATTAGCGGCCGCTTAATCTCGTCTTTTAGCTTTTCGAAGCTTATCTGCTTAAGGATCTTGTTTCAGCTTTGCTGTACGAGCATTAGCCCTTATCGTATAAAGATTAGTTGATAATTAGCCTCTCTCTGGCCTTCCTTTTTAAGAAAAATTAATAAATTAATAAAAGTTAAAATACTACGTAAAAAAGATATTTACTTTGCGCTTACCAAGGTTTCTTAGCACCGGATTGCTTGCCGCCACGATTGCCGTCGTATCGGCCGCATTCTAAGAAAGACGTTTTTAATTAATAAATAGATTAGTAAATAAGAAAATGATTCTTACTATAGATTTTTCAATCCTTTTCATCAAATCAAGCTGATTTATATTTGCAATAATACCTTCCATCGAATCAAGCTGATAGGCGGCCATATTAAATAGTATTATAAAGAAGCCAAACGTTAAGAGTAATTGTTTGAAGTAAAATCAAAGGTAATAGAATAAAAGTGTTAAGATTAAAAGTAAACTCGTACATTTTATTTTTAAAATATCTTAGCGCGGCCGCTAGTGAATTCACGAAGTGATAAGGCAGCCGTAGCTAAGATAAGGCGGCCGCAGCTAAGATAAGGCGGCCGCTTCGCGCAATTTTTACTTTACAAAGTAAAGTCTGATTCCTTTCTATTATTACTTAGTAATCAATTATAATTATCGCTTTCTTATTTGCTACGCCTTTGAATACAACGCTATTCATTGCTTTATAAGGTCGTCCTTTTCTTGTTTAAAATTATCAACTTATTAATCGTAAACTAGATTATCGCGATTAAGTCTCTCTATTAATACTTTCAAATGGCCTCTCTATTAAACGAACCTTTGCTTTCGGACCGACCTCTTTTTACCGATATACTAAGCACTACGGCTAAAGAAGATGACGCAAGCCAAGATAAGTTAATTGATAAAGCAATTAAAAATCAAGCGATTAAGAGTCAAGCGGCTAAAGGTCAGGCGGCTAAGGGTTAAGCGGCTGAAGGTTAAGCGGCTGAGGGTCAAGCAGATAAGGACGAAGCACAAAAAAGTAAAGCAGATATAATACGCGGCGAAAGCGTAAAAGAAGAAAACTTAAATTTGCAAAGTAAACAAAGTAAGTTTATATTTAATTAATCGGAGTATTACTAATACTTTTTCAGTTACTTTACTTAGCGCAAATCCTTATTTTTAGTCTAGCAAAGCTCAATTAGCTACGGATGCGCTAGACCTTACTTTTACTAAGCGCCGCGCTACTACAACTCGATAGTTATCCGGTTAATATTTGATTAGTAAATTAATTAATAAATCAATTGCAAATAGCTGATAAGCATTTATAGAAATTCTTGACCTTACTTTTGCTAAGCGCCGCGCTATTACAACTCGATAGCTATCCGATTAGTATTTGATTAGTAAATTGATTAGTAAATCAATTGCAAATAGCTGATAAGCATTTATAGAAATTCCTGAAACTCCGCGCGGTATTGCAAGTCTATAACAAAGAACCGATTTATCTTCGTCCCTTTTTCGCCGAATTTCTTAAAGTCAAGCTAATAAGTATTAATTACTTTATTAATTAATAATTGCTAATTTCTATTATTTTAAATGACGCTCTTTAAACACTAATAAACTCTCGCGCAAATACAGACTAGTACTTATCATTTCTTAGACCTCGATCCGGTAATGTTTTTGACTTATGATTAATAAATATTTACTAATCAAATTTTTCTTTAGCAAACGCAATTAGATTTACTTCGGCTATTCAATTCGAAATAAACAAAAGCATCGTTTTTAACAATACTAGCATAAGTACTAACAGCTTTCAATAAGTTTAATCTTTTTAAACCTTTTTCTTTCGTTCGCTAATTGTTTTAAAACTGCTTTAAAAGCAACATAATAATCGACGAGCCAAGCGAATGCATTAGCTTAGCTTTAAAACGAAGATCCGTCTTACGACCTAAGTGCTAAAAACAATTCTTTTGCAGCTGCTAAACCTTCTTCTGCTTCTACTAGCAATCGCACTAAAAAAGCTTTCGCGCAAAAAGCTCTTAAAAGGTCTCTTATTGTCTCGGGCCTAACTATAGCTATAAAAACCGCGACGAGGACGATGCTTTATAGTGATATAGATAAAGAAGAGCAAAGCGATAATAAAGAAAACTTAAGTGAAAATAATATTCCTTTCTCTTAACACAAAAGAGCTAAAAAATCATTTTCGACGGCTAAAGCTGCTCGCTCCGTTTTATTAGCTAGCAAATCACTTTCGGCAATTAAAACTTCTTCTCGTTAAAAATCTAAAAAAAGCAAGTATCTTAAGAAGTCTGCAATTGTTGCGAAAAAAAGAAGTCTAAGCTAACGAAAGCGCCGTCGCTATAAGCTAAGAAGTAAGTTCAATTAATTAATAAATTGATTCTCAAGTATAATTACTGATTTATATAGCTACTGCGTTAAAAGAGATCCGACGATACTAAAAAAGCACCGAGCTTCTTATTAAAAAGACTCTTTTCTAGCGTCTTGTTCGAAAGATCACTCACGATTTTAAACAAAACTTTAAATTTCAAAGCGGTGCTTTAAAATGTTTATAAGAAGCTTTAAAAGCATTCTTTATAAAAGAGTTTAAAAGTAAGTACTTATATATTTATTTACTAATCGATTTACTAATCGATTTACTAATCGATTTACTAATCACTTTTAATGACGAACTTATATGCTATTTACGCTAAACGAATAACGATTCAAAATAAAGATATAGCGTTAGTTAAGAAATTACGGGAAATCATAACTAGAAGTTTTGTTTAGTAATTTTAATTTATTATAATATAATGCAATGTAATTGTAAAGTATAACATATGTAATTAATAAATATAATAAATAAATATAATGATTAAGTAAAATTAATAAATATTCGTAAATTTATTTTATTTTTAGCGGCCTCACATATATTATTTTTAACTGTCCCACTTTAAACCTATAGGGTTTCCTTATCTCTCGTAAAGGATTTGACTTAAAAAAATCCTCTTTATAAGGTTTAAAAAAAAAAGTCCCTTATCGGCCAAGACCTTATAGGGGGAATAGGGAGGAAAACCCTATGGGGCCCCCACCCCATGGAGCAGCCTAAATACATTTGAATAATTTATAGCTTAAGTTTTTTAAAAACTTTAAGTATTTCGCGGCACTTTCGTTTAATAGCGTTATAGTTCCGTTTTACTTTCGTTTAAGCTTCGGATTCGTATCGAGCCGATTGCACTTTGCTAAAAGTAGTTTCGCGTTAATCGATATATTTTATTTTTTTAAGTTAGCGTCCGTTTTTATTATTATTCTTTTATTTTAATCTTTGTAATCGATTTTAATTAAAACTAAAGCCGTCGTTAAAGCGTTTTATAACATTCGCATAGCTTTTAAATGCGCTTCGATTTATTATTAATTTATATCTTTTTTTATAAAGTTATAAAAAAGGTTAATAATATATACGAATCTTTTAATTTAAATGCAAAAGTAAAAGCAAAAGCTTAAAAATCTTTTAATTTTAATAACGTTTTCGAAGGTTTTTTAATTATTAATTTTAATAATCTTATCCGCAGCGGGTTCGCGACTTTTCGAATTACATACGAATTTTATTATATTTATTTTATCTTAACAGAATTATAATTTTTCTTCGATCGTAGTATTAGCGCGCTTAATCCGTTTTAAAGTCTTATCGATATTTTAAATATATTCGAATACGAATTAGCGTATATTCGAAAGTGCTTTTTCGTTAAAATAATTCGTTTATAATCTTTTTATTTTAATATCGTCGATAAATAATATAAAGATTTTAAGTTGCAAAAGCTTTAAATAAAATTAATTATTCGAACGAATTAAGCTATCGAATTTATAATATTTTACGAAAGGATAATGTATCGGAAAAGATTTAACGGTATAAAAAAAGCGCTAAAGTCTTTATTCGATTAATAAAATGATTGCTAATAATAGCTCGAATAAAAGTCGATTAAGCTAGCTATTTAATAATTAAAAAACTCTTTAGCAAACTTACTTATAATTAAAAGTAAATTAACGTCTTTTCGTATAATTATATTAAGTAAAGTTATTAAGATAATAAGTTTATATTAACTCGGCTGCTTTTTAATTATTAAAAACTATTGATTCCGGTACGGTCTTTCGCAATATTTTAAAATTCTTTTATTAAGCTTGTTTTAAAGCATTTTAATAATAATAAGTTATAAAGCTCTCGAATACGAATAATTAAAGCTTATTAAGCCGTATATAAAATGGTTTTAAGCTTAATCGAAAATGAAACGTCGTCGTAAAACTTATTGCACTTTTGCTAAGCGAATACGATTGATTTTTCTTTATTTAATTTTTTTTTTTAAATAAATCTTTTTTTTTAAGCCGTAAAGTATTATCGATATTTAAGTTCGTTATGCGTTCGAATATAATTCGAAAGCTTTTCGATATATCGGCAATACGCGGAAAAAAGTATTGCTTATATTCTTTTATTTGTTTTTATAAAGTATCTTTTGCTTTTAATAGCTTATATTAATTAATTTTGCTATTCAATACTGCTTTTACTCCGTTTGCTTCGTTTATTAGCTTAATCTTTTTATTTTTAATTTTATATATATCGAATATTTTAATCGAATTCGAAAAGATCTTTTTTCGAGTTTAATAAAATATTAAATTTTAATAATCGATATAATCGTAGCAGCGGGTTATAAAGTTATCGATGCTAACGGTATTTATTAAGCAAGTTGTTAAAAAATCGTATTTCGTAAAAGCAAAAATATCGATAAACTGCTTTTAAATAATAAAGTCGTTTCTTTTTTAATATTGCAACGTTTTGCTTTCGAAATTAAGCGAAAAGCAAAAAGCTTTTAATATACCGACTTCGGCGCTTTTAACGAAGCCGATTATTAGTTTTCCGAATCGTTGCCGTTATTATTCGAAAACTTATCGTAATAAATAAAGCTTATACTTTGTTTTTTTAAGCGATCGACGGCTTTATTATATTAATTCGTTTTATCATTTACTTTAGCTTAAGTAACTTAGCTCGTAAACGGATTAATAATTATAATAATAATAAAGCTATTTTTATAATTCGAAAAGTATCGAAGACCGATTTTCGCTTTGCGTATAAAAAAGTAATCGAATATAAATCGAAACTTTAATAAATTTATAACGTAAAATTGAGTACGGATCGTAATACTTTCGATATTAATAAATATATTATTAACGTATCCGATAAAGCGCGATAAAAAACCGGTAATTATTTAAAAGCTTATTTTTTAATCGTAAGTTATAAGAACTTCGAATTTAATCGCGGCGTTATAAATAATAACGCTAACTTTCGCATTTATATCGAATATAACTCGCATATTAATAATTAAAAATTATTCGAGTATATTAATAATGATTTTAAAAGTTAACGAATAATAATAAAAGTATTTAAAAAATAATTAGCTAAACGTTAAAGCAAAGCCGATTTCCGTTAAAAAAAGTTTCGCATTACTTTTAATTATAATCCGTAAAGTACGCCGATCTTCACGAGCAAACTAATCGAAAAAAAAGTATTAAAATAAAAAAACATCGTAAAATATAATTATAAAAAGAATCGAAATAAAGCCGATAATAAAAATAAAGCAAAACCGTTTTTAAATCAAAAGCGCTTCGAATATTAAAAGCGTAATGCGTCGACGGTGCTTAATTTAATTGCTACGGATATTTTTTTATAATTAAAGCTTAATTATTTAAAAAAATTCGAATAAGCGTTCGAGCTAAAACCGTTAAGCAATAGCATCTCGATATAAAATCCGTTTTAATCGAGCAAAAACTTATATAAAGTCTATTTTATCGGTAATTCGATTATAAATCGAAGTAGCAAAAGAAAAAAAAAAAGTAAATTTTTACGATAAAGCGCTTTATTAATAAAGCGACTTATAACTTTATAAAATAAATCGCTATCAAATAAAAAAAATTACTTTTTTTTTAAATAAGTCGTTAAAGCTTTAAAGTAAATCCGTTTTTTATCGTATTATCCGTCGCTTTCGATATAAGCTTATTACTTATAATTAAATAATCTTTCGAAGCTTTCGCAACGCTAACCGTAGCTTAAAAGCAATTAATAACGCTTTCGTTAATAAGAGTTTATTCAATCATTTTATCGATTATACTTTCAAAAAAGATTGTTTAAAAATAAAAAAA